CCCCCCCCCCCTCCCCCCCGCTCGCCCCCGCGCGCGATGCAGCCCGGCCTCGTGGGCAGTCCGGCATATTTCAGGGGGCAGATATTCCTGTGGGGCCGGGGTCGGCGTATGTGTGTCCGCCGGACCACCCCGCCCTCCGACTGCCATGCCACATTTCGCGGCTCCTGTGGCCCCTCTCTCCTCCTCGACTCCTGTCTTCCTTCGTGCTCCGACACGAGGGTTTTTTTTTCCCCCTTTGTCGGAGCTGTGGTCCCCTCTCGCCGCCCACCGGGGTGTGGAGCAACGCGAGCACGTATGTTCCGGCGCGCACACGCACGAGTATGTCCCCTGTGCACCGGGCCCAAGGGCTTCACCGCCTCTCATGGTTCGGCTCCTCCACGTGAAGCAACATCGACATGCACACCACCGGGCGCGGCAGCTGGGCGCGCGAGCGGCACGAGGAGGCAAGGGGGGTGGCGTGCGGACTGCTGTTGCAGCCCCTTCCTCCCTTCCTGCGCCCTCGGCTCTTGCCCATCCGCGTTCCGGCGGCCACGCCGGGTGGTCTGCGAGCACCTGCGCCGCGCGCGCGTCGCGTGGGCGCACATGAAAGGCCGCTTGCCTCTCGCCCACGCCCGAGCCAGCCCCGCACGCGAGCCGGCGAGAAGACGCCCGAAGGACCGGTACATGGTGTGTCTTCGGCTGTCTTCCATCCCCACCGCCCACCCTCGTCGCCTCCCGCCACCTCCCCCCTTGTCAGGGGGGGGGTGTGTGTATGTTTGTGCGTTCGCCGATGGCACACGCATGCCGGTACGCCTCCCCGAGGTTCTGGTACTTATCGCCCGAGGAAAGACAGCGACCCGCTATTGCTAAGGAGGCGTCCTCGGGCGAAAAGTAGGCAGAAACAAAGGCAAGCGGATGGCATGCGGGCCGGACCGGGCGGGCACGCGACGCGGGAGGCGACAAAGGGGGGGCACACATGGGGCGCGGCACCGAGCGGGGCATGGCAGAATGGGGGTGGGGCGGGAAAAAAAAGCGAGGAAGAGGTTTCATGCGCGCCCCAGCGCGGCACAGCGAGGGAGCTCCCACCAGGGGCGGGCTTGTCTGTCATGCGACTTGATGTCGCGGCACGTGGAGGAAGGCCGAAGGAATGAGGGGCGCCCTGGCCGGCACACTTCGGACGCTTGCATGTACGCGCCAGCCCACACGCACGCACCTCTGTGCTCCGAGGGGGAGGGGGAGGGGGACATCGAAGGGAAGAGGAGAAGGGGAGGGACGGTAGGGGGCAGGGATAATACAGGCGAGGCATATGGGTCGGAGGGGCCCACCCGCCGAGATTGCTCACACGAAAGAAGAAGATCCACGAGCACGGTCGTAGTCGTGGCCACGGTGTCGGGGGCGATCCCCACCGAGTGGAGGGCGGGGCGGCGGAGGGCTGCCCGGGCATAGGGCCGGTCATCTGCGGACCGGCGGTATGCCTGGACCCTCGCACAGGGGCCCCTGCTTGCACTCGGTGGGGACCTCCCACCACAGCAGCTTGGCGGCACTGTCGAGCCGGCCGGTCAGCCGGAAGAGAGGGGCGCAGCGACGGGGCATTCCCCGCCGAGGGGGGGGGGATGCCTTGCTTTTTTTTTGTCGCCTTCCCCTCTCTCGTCTCCCGGAGGGGGGGGGAGAGGGTGTCATTCGGATTTCTTTTTTTTTCTAAGAGGTGTTTTGGTTTTTTTTCTAAAACCCGCACATCCTCCGTGTCTCCGTGTCTCTGTCTCTCTCATTCTGTCGCTCTGGGGCTCTCTTTCACAGGCCGACACGCGCCCGGCAGCCCCACCCGGGGGGCAGGGATGCATGGGGTCCGCGCCATTGGGGGTGCGCGCGCAAGGGCGCCACACGCCGCAGGCATGGGGGACGCGCGGGGGGCATGCGTTGAGAGCGCGGAAGCGGGGGCGCTCCTCCGGCACCAGGCCGAGAGGCAGGGCCCCCTGCTTGGGACGACAGGGCGGCAAAGGGGCGGGGGGGGGGGGGGGGGTCCCCGCGCGGGTGGCCACCCGCGAGGGTTCAGCCCCGGGGCCTGGGTGTGGTGCGCGTGCCGCCTGCGCCGGATGCTCTGGCCGTGCTCCGGAGGCGGGGTGATGCATCACCGCGGGCGGAGGCGCGGGCAGAGGATCCGGCAGGGACACGCAGGCGGCCCTGTCGTCCGGGCGAGTCCGGGAAGTCGCAGGGATGCGCATGGGTGCGTATATGCGTCCCGGAATACTCGCGTGTTTTCTCTTGTTTTCTTTTTTGATTCAATCTCTCTCTCTCTCTCGGGCGTGCATGCGCGAGCGATTCTTCCGGCCATTGTGTCTCGTGCTCGCTTCCGAGGGTGGTCGTCG